AAACTTATATTTACAAATATTTTATGTCATATATATGAGAGAAAAGGATAAAGTAAATGTGGTAGAATGATAACATTTGGGTAATCTGGTTGAAGGGTATATGGCCATGCTTTGTACTATGCATGTAACTTCCCTGTAAATCTGAAATTAGGTCAAAATAAACAGTAAAAAAGAAATTAGGGGGTGTTAAAAAATAATAAAGTAGACACCAAGTATCTTACCAAAGCAGAGAAAACTTCCTGAAGAAGAACCCAAAGTGTACTTGTATATAACTTTCAGGGATTTACACCTTTCCAAATCATTCATTCATTCACATATGAAAAAAAATACATTTATTGTATCCTTTTCTCATTCATATACACACATACATACATGCATATATATAAAATATTCTTGCTGAGTGGAAAAAACTGTACCCTCCTTTTAGTTCCTAACACCAAGAGACCCTCCCATACCTGTGGCAGTCCCTGTGTCCAAGGCCACAGAGCCCATATCTTTCCGAAGGCGTTCCAGTTGTTCTTTCTGCTGCTGACTCTGTGCACTGGCCTTTGTATAGAGAGAAAAACATCACCATATTTTTTTGGAGCCTCGAGTTAGATGCTAGATTTCTAAGTAGAGACAATATTAAGTAGCCTCTAGTATTACATACTACTTGAGGCAGATAAGGGATGGCTGACACGAGGCAGAGACACTGGGTAGTGCGAGCCGTGACTACAGCAGAAGTTCAGAGTGCAGGGTTCTGCAGACTGAATTAGGAGATTCAGAAACTGGACATAGAAACGTATCGAAAGAACACTCAAGTAGACATAGGAGAAAGGCTCCATGATAAAGGGCCCAATGCAGCCTATGGAGGCGGGACACTTGATCACTTGGGATAAGAGCTGCAAACCACCTCTCTATTCTTAATCAAGAGAAAAAATCTACAACTAGCCTTTAAATGGACCTTAGAGTGGGGGTGGGGGGACACAGAAGGACTTAGCATGTATAACAAGAAAAATCAGATTTTTAAAAATTCAAATGCAAAGAGGAGAAAAATAATTAGGTGGTCTTTCTGCATCCAGACCAGAATACATACAAATTTACAAATTTTAATTAACAAGAATCTAAAAGACGTACTGATAGCCAAAACAAATGCATATATGTCATCTGGATCAGTACATGATTTAATGTTGTTTTTTAATGGCCCTAAAATATATAAACAACCTCCTTTCTTACCAGAGATTTCTTCAGGCGTTCATATTCAGGACGATACTCCCTGGAAAGAGGAACACTTTCTTAATTCTTTTGCCTAATAATCCATCTTGCCTCACATTCCTACCCTCATCCCCATCACTTCTATTTTCCTAGGACCCTGACAATGACAAAAGATCTTACTTAGTGAATATCAGATGTCAAAAGTCTTGGTTGGTCACCAAGGTTCTACCCCTATAGAATTAAAAGCCAAGGTGCCTGCTCCCCACCCCATCCCACCCAGAAATAAGCAGAGACAAAATCCTGACTGCTGGGCTGAAAGGTTATCACTAGAGAGATCACAGCTGATGTGCTTACTATCATTTGGATAAATGTTTGAGATGAGTAAAAGCAGCTAGGTGTACTGGGCTCAAGAAGCCAAACAAATAATGATGTGTTTACCTGGACAACAATGAAAGGATACAGAAAATAGTCTCTCCTGGGGCTCTGATAACACAAAAAAACCCTGGTCTGATGAGTTAAAATCAAGACAATGTGTCTGAAAACCACAATGTGGTTGTTAGGATCTTTGCTAAATATGAAGCCCAAAGAAGCATGCTAATAAGCGGCCTATCAGGCCATGGGCCTAAGGAAAGTGTATACAGGTGCTCTGACTACACTTTCCTTCAGGTAAATCCCAGCACTGACCTTGACAATAGTTCTAACAACCATTTATCACAAAATGTGCTTACTATATATATATGTCAACAACTGTGCTAGATGGTTTAGATATATTTTCTCAAATAATCCTTAGAACAATCTTGGCAATAAATGTTATTATCCCCATTCTACATATGTGGAAAACTTGCTATTAAGTGGAGGAAACAGAAATCCAACCCACATCTGTCTGAATCCAGATGTATGCTATTAATCATAGACTAAGGCCAAATTCAACCTGCCACTTGTTTTTGTAAATAAAGTTTTATTGAATACACAGTCATGCGATTCAGTTACTTACAGTCTATGGATGCTTTTGTCCTACAATGTCATAGTTGAGTAGAAGCCAGAGACTATATGGCTCACAAAGCCTAAAATATTTACTATCTAGCTCTTTACAAAAAATGTATGATGACCTTGTTCTTAACCATCTATTACAGTGAAGCTTTTATAATTCTATTTAAATAAAGTTAATGGGAGTTGTCAGCCAGAACTGTGGTCACATCCAGTACATGTCTGCATGGCAAATATAACACATATGCTATGAAAACCTGAACACTTTTGCCTGGTAAAACTGCTATCATATCAGATTTGTACATTACTAAGAATGTCCTCAATAGGATTCTTCTTTCTCCTCACCTTTCATATTCTTCTGCAGCACTGGTAACCTGCACAAAGAGTTCATCTAAGCCTGTACCGAGAACAGCAGAGACACCCACCACCTGCCAAAAGCATCATAAATGCCAGTGAAGAAATAATGGTATATTTTTAAATGTTCAAATGTCATAAAACCTTCAGAAAAGAGGTTTAGATACTTTAAGAACTCTAGGGAAAAATGTCACGCTAAAACAAAAACAGCATGCCTAGTCAGAAGTAAAAGAAGTAAGTCTATGAAAAATAAAGAACTGAGAAAGAAAGGATAATTAGGACCAAACAAGTAGAAGGACTTATTATCTATTCCCTACCAAACCACTCTCTGTTCTCTATACAAATTAGTATCTCAATATCTTTGCTTGGAAACTAACATACTCTCTGCTGGTCACATCCACTTTTGCTTACCTAAATCCTACCATTCCTTCAAGGCATACCTCTAATGCTATATCCTCCAGAATCTCATGTCAAAGGTGATCTGCCCCCTCACCACCATCACACCCAACTTCCAACTTTTCTTAAGGTACTTACCACAATATATCTCATGCTTTAATTCTGTGTATAGCTTTCTCTCCTAACCAGACCAAAAACTCTCTAGGGGTCCCTATCTTACTTATCTTTTAAACCTCCACAGTTTTTAATAAGTAATGCTTTAAAAGTTATTCTTCAAAGAAGATACTGAACGTCCTTTCTAAGTTGGTTAAAAGCCAGCCCAGTGGTTAAGAGGTTATCTGGAGAGACCCTGAGTGTTAGTAGGAGAGAAAGTTTACCCTGAGGGAGCTGTAAAACTCATCTAACACCAGGCTCATGGAACGAGTCAGGTTACTGACATATGTAGTCTCTTGATTCAAAGCATCTTGGAAAGCCTCAAAATCCCGCATCCATTCCACTGCAAAGCTGTGATCAATGATGTCAGTCTGTACCAGAGAAAAGTCAATTACCAGCAATCAAACATGAGGTTAGACACCAAACAATGGCAAAAATTATTTTTTTAATTAAGTGACAGCACATAGCACATCCTCTATATTTTCTTTTTCTGCTTCCCACATTCCTCCTCTATTAAACAAACCACAAGGAGCAAAGACTGTTGTGTAGTATATATAATTAAAGGAAGACCTACGTTTTCTTGGTTGAAACAGACCCTTCACTATCCACTACCAAATGACCATAGCCACAGTGGATGCCAGCACATTCCAGGATCTGAAGTCAAGTAGTCTCTTGCATCCTAACCATCACCCAGCAACAGGGAAATTTTATTTGTTTCGTTTTTTATTTCCACTTCCAACAGACTAGCAGTCCCACCTCCAATTACAGTCCTGATTCTGAGGGATAACCTATATGCTAGGGTCGAGGAACTACTCTATCTAGCCTAAAAAAAATTTGGATAAGAGTTAGTGATAAATTTTCATTCAATTTGATTAAATCTATTTCCTAGAAATGCCCATGACCTTCTTTCAGTGAAGCTTGAATCTGCTTTCCAGCATCTTCTCATCTACCCAAACCTTCCGACAACTACAAGGTCCTGATGAAAAAGAAATGCTGAATCACAACAGGAAATATCCACTTACTTTATTCATGACCACAATGAAAGGCAGCTTGGTTTTATACAAGATGCTGAAAATCAAACATCAAAACATTATTATTAATAGCACTTACATTTAACAAGAAAGCATATCCCTAGTAATATCAGACAATACAAATGCTGTGATGGCTTTTGTGTGCACACAAAGATAGTGAGGCATTTCCTTCTTCTCCTAATGGCACCACAATCGGGGCACACCTGTGCATTTTAGAATTATGGATGAATCTTTTTATTCATAGTGCCTCCTCACATGATAATTTCACTCTACTTACCATAACACACAAAAGCAGCATTTAGACCAGGGGCTCTATTATATTTAGACTTGGATTTCATTCAAATGGGGGCATCCACCAGAAGATTCATATTCATACACCACCTACTTTTGTAACAAGCAAGGGAGGAAGGTCAGAAATTGCTGATAGAGAATGCCTATGGAACATGTGCCTCTTTTCTCTTCTGACCCTCCCCCAACTCACAATTACTAACCTGAGTGGAAAATCAAGATGAGACAAATCTAGCAGTAAGCACCCAGGACAGAGTAACATTAAAAGCAAAAGGGAAGAAGAAGAGGAGGCCTCATACCTTGATGGAATATTATGCCCACCAACGATCAATTACCTGCACGCATACAGCATATTAGACATGAAGGTCACTGGGTTGGTACTTCGCGATGTGTCCATTACATAGATGACAACTGTTGGAAACGAGGATGCCTAAAGCCACAAAATAATCAACACTTGGTCAGAGCGCCAATCACCTGTCCCCAAACTCTTTTCCTAACTTCCTTAGCAAGGGAAAGCCACTTTAGGTTGGGTGTTCAGAGCTTCTACAACTCCCTCCCATATAAAATCCCAGGCAATAAGAAGATGCTAAGCCAGTCTGGTGGCACAGTGGTTGAGAGGTCAGGCTGCTAACCAAAAGGTCAGTAGTTCCAATCCACTAGCTGCTCCTTGGAAACCCTATGGGGCAGTTCTACTCTGTCCTATAGACTCGCGATGAGTCGGAATCGACTTGATGGCAATGGGTTCATTTTGGTTTTCTGAAGCCAGTCTAGCCTTCTAGTTACTCTCAGTATATGAGGTTCTCAAATACTCACCAGGGCCTCAGTGATGATTGTCCCAGAAGCTGACCATGTAAATACCTCAATCTGTCCAGGTGTGTCAATCAAGACATATCTGTGTCAAGAAAGATCATTAAAAGAATGTTAACACTTGCGCAATGCTGAAAGATATTCCATCACACAAAACAATAAATATCTGGTTATCCAAGCCTGTAACAACCTCTACACACTGCCAAGTCTAACTTTCTCCCATTGCCCTTAAACCATGCGCCTCATTCCCCGGGCTTTGTTCAATGCCTAATGTTGAGGCTATTGGCAGGAGTAGTAGACCCTGCACTGCTGCAAATAATCACAGGGGGAACTGTAACAGTCGTAGAAACATATTACATTAAAAACAGAGTTAAGTAAAACCAGAATGTACATGTCTGGCAAACCATCTGGTAAGCTCACTGATGACATCTGATAGCCAGCTAAAATGGTAAATTTTATATTATGTGTAACTTACATTTAATTAAAAAAGAATGAATGAAGAGAGAAGGGAAAACCTTTCCAATCAAAAGGCAACTAACAGATAATAAAATATGATGGTATTAGAAAATCATCATTTGACAACCTTCATAATAATTGACTCAGGAAAGAATTATCAATGGATGCTAAAACTAGTGGGTAAAAGTTTGAATTAAGTATATTTGAGTAAATACATTCTGAGATCAAAATTGGTAAGGCAATAGCAAGACCAGAAAGCAAGACCAGAAAAAGAACTCAAAAGTTGGAAAAACAGGGGGCCAGGACTCAGAGAAGAAATCCAAATGAAGACAGGGTTCCACCACACAAGTCTAAAGCAAAACACTAAAAACCAGATGTGGACACCATAGTAACTCACTGGTAGCAGACAAAACACGCAGGATTACATACAGCTAAGCTTTTGGGTGGCCCTTTCTCTTAAGCGAAAATATTTTAAAGTAATTAATATGTTTACCTTCTAGATTAAAATGGCAGATTAAAGTTGCTACTCAAAATTTGTTCTTTCAGTACCTAATAAAATGATGCCTAAATAGTAAAATAGGAGTGGTGGCAGGCCTATAATAAGCAAAAGAGAAAAGAAAAATAAATAACTGTGTCCAATAAATGTCAAAACTTGGTGGTAAAAGAAAGATACAGAATATTCTGAAGCAGAGAGACACAGTGGAGTTTGTTCCTAAGCCCACCATCAACATCCAAAAGCTTTACTGGTAAGTTTATAAATTCCTAAGAATTCGAACTACATCTCTAAATCTGGAAAGAAGCAACAAAGCATATTAAATGAGACAGAATGACAGAAATTAGGAAACCAACCAAAGCCAGCGGGAGGCTCTCTGTTAGAAAAAGACATAGCCCCTCAACTAGAGGAAGCAAACATGATTATGAGACACTTAAGAAAATCTTAGTTAAAAAGCAGAACCTAGGTATTTCAATAAAGATTACAAACCCTGTACTGAGTTTTTCCCTGCTCCCTGGCCATTCCCTCAGGCTGCAGAAAAAGAGATTTGTCATGAAATATTCTGCGACTTAAAATGAAAACCAAGCAGGTATCAAGGCCTCCGAAGAATCAAGAAGTCACTCATTCTATACCAGAGTAAATATATAATGTCTAAACAGAGCATTTACATGATCCTGAGAGCAAGTGCCTTCTCAATTTTACATAGTAGGTGCCTTTCTTCCCTTCCCTCACCCTAGTTCCAGCCCTGCATAAAGCAAAGGCTTCAGTAATACAAATTAATGCAGGTTAAAAAGTTAAAAAGCAAAGAGATTAAAACAATTAGAGAGAAGCTAATAGATATGAAAGCAGATAAATAAAATCCATCGTAAAGATAACTGGAGTACCTGAAGATGCATTTCAAGATATACCACAAGAAAACTTCCCTGAAACGAAGAGATCTGCAGATTGAAAGAGTGTACAAGGCTCCTAGAAATTTTTATATGGCATGCTCAACACTGAGGCATATACAAATTAAACTACTACACTTCAAGGATAAAGAAAAAAAATGCTTCTCCTAGTCATCTAGACAAAGAAACAATTCATTGATAAGGTATGTGTGGGCGTAGGAGGAGTGCATAGGGAATCTGACTGGCTGAAGACTTCTCTACAGCCACTGTCAATGCCAGAAGATCCTGGAACAATATCTACAAAGTTTGAGAGAAAGAAAATGTGATTATCATGCCCAGCCAAAGTATCACTCAAATATAAGAAAAATAAGCAGACATTTGTAAACATGAAAGAACTCAGACATTTGTAAACATGAAAGAAAACAGCCATTAACTCTCCCTGATAAAACTACTACCATTGAAATCCTACTAATTAAGAGCAAAATATGGAATTTAGAAATGAAGATGTGGTTTTAAAAAAAAGTGTGAGCACTGAGTTCTTTTAAATAGAAAACTAATACTGAATGATTATTGGAATTGTGGGTACAGAGTAAAATGAGAAAGTACTAAACTTGGCAATGTAAAAATAACAAGAACAAACAAAAATCAGGAGGTGGGGGGAGAATGAGACAAACTATTAGAGTGCTTCATCTTTCACAGCAGGGAGTCAACTGATAATGTTTAAAACTGAAACAACTTTTGTAGTGAAGAAATCATGACTCCTGACTACTTCATACTTTTCATAACGATCTTTTCTTAACTTCACAGGAATCTTTTAGGAAGAACCAAAATCTTTAGATGAAGAAACATTTATTTGAAGGTCAACAATTGCTTTGGTTTTATTTCAATGTCCTTCTCGTCTGTCAAATTCAAGTTATATTTGATATTTTTATTTTAAAATGGTTTCTCCAGACCTGCCCCCTCAGGATGGCAGGATTAAGGATCTCCAGAATCTGCTCCTCCAAATAAAAGCAATGGTAACACAGGCAAAATATGTAAAAAGCAAAATTTTTAGAACTCCAGAAATTACCTACAGGGTTACAACAATCTGAGGGGTGGCACTCAAAAAAAAGGAAAAAAATACACAACTGAATTTTGGTAAGAACAGTGGGCCTTACGCCAGTTTAACTGGCACTGATCCCACTGTCATCTCCCCAGCTCAGCAGTAGCCTTGAAAGCCAACAGGCCAGGAGCCACTGGAAGGGGCAGAATAGGACTGAAGAATTATCACTATTTAACCTGCCTGGCACCTCAGGGCTTGTCTTTATTTGACCTGACTCATAGCTCACTCTGTGTGAACAGTTCTATCCACAGAGCATTTGTTGAAAACAATTAGCAGCAACTGTTTAACAATGCATCTCCCCGTGGCGGGGTTACCAGCTGGAGCTAAGAAGCTAACCAAAAAACTTAAAAGGAAAAACTGGGGAATGAGATGTCCACAGGGAGTTATTTTAAATAAAAAAAAAAAAGGTAACATAATAAGTGTTGGCAAGAATGGGGAGAAACTGGAATCTTTATACAGTTTGGCAGTTATACAAACAGTTAAACATAGAGTTATCATATGATCCAGCAATTCCATTCCTAAGTATATACCCAAGAGAATTGAAAACATACGTGTGGAGACTGATTCAAGATGGTGGCCTAGTCAGATGCACCATGCCATCCCTCTACAGCAAAAAACCCAAGAAACAAAGTGTAACAGATACAGCTGACAACTCTGGAACCCTGAGCATCAAAGGAAAGGGTATAGAATTAGATCAAATACCGATGGGAAAAATAATATGAACAATAGCAGCAAACAAGGAGAGATACAGAACGGAGGTGCCCTGCCAGCCAGTCTGGCACAGCGGGGCCATTTTGAGACAAAGCCAGCAGCGACAACATCACAGAACTCTCAACCCTTAAGGGACAGAGAAACTACAAAGACACATCCAGAGTAAAGCAAGGTGAGCAGGACATAAACTGGAGATAAGGAGGCAAAGTACGGGAAGGAGGACAAGAGCTTCAGGGATCCCAGCGTACACAGAGCAGGGAGGGAGCCAGGACCCAAAGACAGGGCGACTTCTCCAGTGGTGGTAACTGACCAGTAGGGTGAGAGGCAAAAACAGAGCAATAGACAAACCTCCCCCACACACTTTTTCTTCTTTTTTATTTGTTCTCCTCCCTCTCCCCTGGTGGCATAGTGGTTAAGAGCTACATCTGCTAACCAAAAAAGCTGGCAGTCCGAATCCACCAGGTGTTCCCTGGAAACTCTATGGGTTCTACTCTGTCCTGTAGGGTCACTATAAGCTGGAGTCAACTCAACGGCAATGGGTTTGGTTTGGTTTTCCCCCTCCCCCACTAGAGAGAGCACCTGCTCTGGTACATTAAAACAAAACAAAAATCATAAATAACACCTCAGTGCCTCAGAGCCAACAGACAATATCAAATCAAAGAAATAAGATAAGATGGCTCAACCAAGTGACCAAAATACAGGGGCAGAAAACCTTCCTGAGGAAGAGATGGTAAAGGATTAACGTATAAAAATCACTCGGATTCCCCTACACTAACCAAGAGAACTCCAAAAAGGAAATTAGGAAAACAATGCCATTTACAACAACCTCACAAAAGATAAAATACTGGGAAATAAACCTAACTAAGGATGTAAAAGACTTATATAAAGAAAATGACAAAACACTACTACAAGAAAGCAAAAGAGACCTGCATAAATGGAAAACAAATACCATGCTTATGGATAGGAAGATTTAACATTGTGAAAACAATAATATGACCCAAAGTGATCTATAGATACAAGGCAATCTCAATCCAAATTCCAACAACATTCTTTAACGAGATGGAAAAACTAATCACCAACTTTATATGGAAAGGAGAGAAGCCCCAGATTAAGTAAAGAAGAAGAACAAAGTAGGAGGCGTCACACTACCTGATCTCAAAACCTGCTATACAGCCACAGTAGTCAAAACAGCCTGGTACTGGTACAACAACAGATACACAGACCAATCAAACAGAATTGAGAACCCAGAAATAAATCCATCTACCTATGCACAGTTAATCTTCGACAAAAGGTTGAAATCCATTAAACGGGGAAGAGATAGTCTCTTTTTAACAACTGGTGCTAGAACAATGGAATATCCATTTGCAGAAAAATGAAACAGGATCCGTATCTCACACCATCCACAAAAACTAACTCAAGATGGATCAAAGACCTAAATGTAAAACCTAAACCCATAAAGATCATAGAAGAAAAAATAGGAGCAAACCTAGGTGCCCTAATTTATGGCATAAATAGACTATCAAACATAACTAAAAAAGCACAAATAGCAGAAGATAAACTAGATGATTGGAACTTCACGAAACTCAAATATGCTCATCAAAAACCTTTTCCAAAAGAGTAAAAAGAGAAATCACAGACTGGGAAAAAATTTTTTGGCTACAACATATCTGACAAGGGTCTATTCTCTAAAATTTATAGAAAACTCTACCAACTCAACAACAAAAAAAAAACAACCCAATAAAAAATGGGCAAAGGACAGGAACAGACACTTCACCCAAGATGATATCTAGATAGCCAACAAACACATGAAGAGATGCTTGCGATCACTAGCCATTAGAGATGCAAATCAAAACTACAATGAGATACCATCTTACACCAGTAATAATGGCACTGACCAAAAAAACAGAAAACAACAAATGCTGGAGAGGTTGTAGGGAGACTGGAACTCTCATACACTGCTGGCGGAAATGTAAAATGGTACAAACACTATAGAAAACAATATGGTGCTTCCTCAAAAAGCTAGACATAACTGGATGGTACCCGGCTACCACCACCAACCTCTCTGACAGGGATCACAATAGAGGGTCCCGGACAGAGCAAGAGAAAAATGTAGAACAAAATCCAAATTCACAAGAAAAGACCAGACTTACTGGTCTGACAGAGACTGAAGGAACACCAACATTACGGCCCCTGGACACCTTGCTAACTCAGAACTGAAGCCACTCACGAAGTCCACCCTTCAGCAAAAGATTAAACAGGCCTATAAAACAAACAATAATACACATGAGGAATGTGCTTCTTAGTTTATGAGACCAAAGGGACAATATATGCTCAAAAGCAAAGACGAGAAGGAGGAAGGCACAGGAAAACTGGATGAACAGACACGGGGAACCGAAGTGGAAAGGAGAAGAGTGCTGACAAAATGCAGGGATTGCAACCAATGGCACAAAACAATTTGTGTATAAATTTTTGAATGAGAAACTAATTTGCTCTGTAAACTTTCACCTAAAGCACAATTTAAGAAAAAAAAGCTAGGAATATAAATACCATATGATCCAGCAATCCCACTCCTAGGCATATATCCTAGAAAAATAAGAGCTGTCACACAAATAGACATATGGACACTCATGTTCACTGCAGCATTATCCACAATAGCAAAAAGATGTAAACAGCCAAAGTACCCATCAACGAATGAACGGATAAACAAAATGTGGTACATACACACAGTGGAATACCACACAATGTTAAAGAGTAACAATGAAACCATGAAACATCTCACAACATGGATGAACCTGAAGGACACTGTGTTGAGTGAAGTAAGTCAATCACAAAAGGACAAATATTATGAGACATTATAAAGTCAAGAAAAGGTTTTCACACAGACAGAAACATTCTTTAATGGTTACCAAGGATGATGGGGAGAGGAATCACTAACTAGATAGTAGATATGTACTAACTTTGGTGAAGGGAAAGATAATACACAATATAGGGGAAATCTGAACAACATAACGAAGGTAAAGGAAGACACTGAAAGGTACACAGGAGTAAAAGGTAACAACAGTAAATACTAATATATATACAATCCTGCAACAACAGTAATAGTAAACAATAATGTACAAGTGAATACATAGGTAGATATAGAAGCTGAACGGGGTAAGAGGGCATATGAAATATATCTGTGTGTGTGTATATATATATATATATATGTACATGCTGCAAATATACCCATGAATGCAATAGCGTGTGCAAGGGACACAGTCATGAAAATTTCTTAGCCCTAACTATATACCTCCTGGGACTGAGACACTGGGCTTGAGGGCTAGGGACCATAGTCTCGGGGGACATCTGGGTCAATTGGTACATCATAATCCATACAGACAATGTTCTACATCCTACCTTGGTAAGTAGCGACTGGGGTATTAAAAGCTTGCAAGCAGCCATCTAAGATAAAATAACTGGTCTCTTCCCATCCAGAGAAAAGATGAGTGAAGTAAACCAAAGACTCAAGGAAACAATTAGTCCAAAGCACTAACAGACCACATGAATCATGCCCTCCACTAGCCCGAGACCAGAAGAACCACATGGTGCCCGACTACCACTACTGACAGCTCTGACCCAGGACCACAATAGTAGATCATGGACAGAGTGGCAGAGAAATGTAGAACAAAATTCAAACTCATAAATAAGACCAGACTTACTGGTCTGACAGAGACTAGTGGAACCTGAGACTATGACCCTTAGACATTCTTCAAACTTGGAAGTGAAATCACTCCTGGAGATCACATTATAGCCATACAACAGACAGGCCTATAAAATGAACAGTAACACCAGTGAGGAATGTGCACCTCAGAACGATCAACTATACGAGATCTAAAGGGTAGCATTTGCCCAACAGCAAAGATCTGAAAGAAGGTAGGGGCAGGGAAGCTGGGCAAATGGACACAGGGAATCCAGGGAGGACGGTAGGAGAGTGCTGACACGTTCAGGGGCTTGCAACCAATATCACAAAACAAGCCATGTATAAACTGTTGAATGGGAAACTAATTTGCTCTGTAAACTTTCACCTAAACAATAAAATGTTCAAAAAATAAAAACAAAGTGAAAAAAAGAAAACATACATGCATGCAAAAACTTGTACATGAATGTTCACAGCAACAATTCATATGAACCAAAAAATGGAAACAATCCAAATGTCCATCAACTAATGAAAGGATAAACAAAATGTGGTATAGCAATACAATGGAATATCATTCAGCCATAAAAAGGAATAAAGTACTGTTCACGCTACAGCATGAATGAATCTTAAAAAAACATTGTGGTAAGTGAAAGAAGCCAAATAACAAAGGTCACATATCGTATGACTGCATTTATATGAAATGTCCCAAATAGGCGAATCCATAGAGATAGAAAGTAGATTAGTGGTTGCCAAGGGTTAGAGTGAGCGAGGAATAGGGAATGACTGCTAATGAGTATATGGTTTCTTTTGAGGGTAATAAAAATGTTCTGGAATTACAGTCGTGATCAATGTACAACTCTGAATATAGTAAAAACCACTAAATTGTATACTTTAAAAGGGTGAATTTCATAGTATGTAAAATATATCTCAGTAAAGCTGTTACTTAAAAAATATATATATCTCTAATATGATCCCATTTTTTAAAAAAACACCTTTATCCAAAAGGTCATGGAAGCCCCATAGACACATCCAAACTCCCTGAGGGACTGAATTGCTGGGTGGAGGGCTGTGGGGACCATGGTCTTAGGGAACATTTAGCTCAATTGGCATGACACAGCTTATAAAGACAATGCTCTACATTCTACCTTGGTGAGTAGCGTCTGGGGTCTTAAAAGCCTGTGAGCGGCCATCTAAGATACTCCACTGGTCTCATCCCTTCGGGAGCAAGGGAGAATGAAGAGAACGGGATACAAGGAAAAGATCATTCCGAAGGACTGATTGTCCACAGCTACCAAGGCCTCCACCGGACCGAGTCCAGTACAGCTAGATGGTGCCCGGATACCACCACTGACTGCTCTGACCAGGATCACAACAGAGGGTTCTGGACAGAGCTGGAGAAGGGTGTAGAGCATAATTCTAACTCACAAAAAAAAGACCAGATTTACTGACCTAAAGGAGACTGGGGAAACCTCGAGAGTATGGCCCCCAGACACCCTTTCAGCTCAGTGGTGAAGCTACCTCCGAGGCTCACTGTTCAGCCTGGGAGTGGACAGCCCCATAAAACCAAATGAGACTAACGAGGTACAGGAGTCCAGTGACAAGGGCCAGAAGGCAGAAGGGGACAAGGAAGCTGGTGATAGGGAACCCAAGGTTGAGTAAGGATATTGCTGATGTGTTGTGAGATTGGTAACCATTGTCATAGGGCAACATTTGTAGTAACTGTTAAATGAGAAACTATTTTGTTCTGTAAGCCTTCATCTTAAGGGAGAATAACAGCACAATTGGAAGAGTGTAGTCAATGTCATTGAACTGTGCATGTAGAAATTTTTGAAATGGTGTATCTTTGGCTATGTGTATTTTCACCACAAAAAAAAAGGTTGAGAAGTTAGAGGGTTGATATGTTGTGGGGTTGTTAACCAATGTCATAAAACAACATGTGTACTTCTGTTTCAGGAGAAACTATTTGTTCTGTAAGCCTTCACCTGAACTACAATTAAAAAAAAAAAAAAGAAAAAAACCTTTATCCATCCATCTTTCTACCTATGTATATATGCATAGAAATGTGGCATGTTAGTCACTTAACGTAAATGATAGTTATTTCTAGTAGGAATCAGGGTGATAGTTTCATCATTTAAATACTATGCATGCTTTGGATTCTTGATAATAAGCATATATCTTTTTTTACAAAAACAATAAATTATCTTTCTTTTTTTAAAATAAAAAAAATTAAGAATTTAACATCAGTTAATTGTGGGTAATGATAATAAGATATTAAGTATTATTTTATATTTTGATAATTTTTTAATAAAAAATTAATTCTCTGAATCATGTAAATTATATTCATTTAAACAAGGGCTGGAAAGGTACAACAGAGGCTTTGACGTCAATAGCATGGCTTCCCAAGAGACGGCAGGTAGGCAACTGAATTTGGACGAAGTCTCAAAATGCTTCCTATTTAGACACCCTCCCACAAGAAGTCATGGGAGTATATCAAAGTAATTGGAGATGGAGAATATTAAATTTAGCTCTACACTGTTCAGCATCCTCATGATTTTCTTGCCCACTCATTTTCACTTTTAATTGCTTCATCTCAATCTTAACCCTTTCAGAGCTTGATGGTATCCTAGAATCTTCCCAAAAGCCTAGGAATGTGTCAATTATAGAATAATAAATAGGTGATAAACTGAAATCACTCACTTAGACATGTTCTGGGCCTTCTCAATAAATTTGATCACCTAAAAGAAAAAGATGCCAATACAACAAGATCAGACTTCAACGCAAAATCACAGAGCCTTCTCCAGGGTGGCAAGCCTCATAGATACCATTGTAAGTTTCTATGTTTTCAATCTTAGGACACTAACTAATAAAGTCACTGATCTGAAAAAACACATCCACATTAGCAACACTGTAACAACATCCTGCACACAGTGCAAGGTCCTGAGAAACTGAAGACTGGGTTTGTCACTGTCAAGTCTTTATCTCTTGGCAATTCTATAAAATGCTAATATCCTGTCTCATCAAATGACATCAGGGTAACAAATTAATGATTACTTTGACAGAAGTTGAAGCTGACAGAGAAAACCTAAAGGATGACAAATACTTGTCACAAGTGAAAATCCCCATTATCTTTCCATTCCATCCCACTTCCCGGCCCTCCATTTCATCCACAGGCAGCACAACAAGCTAATCACAGATACAAAAAGAACCCAGGTCTCTCAGTTTTTGTTAATTGGCTGTCACAGATATTAAATGTGAAGCATCTCACAACAGTGATCATCCGGTCACAGCCTGTTTATTTACTGACCAAAATGCTTCCTTATTTTCTACAGTTATGTTCAGGTTTATTGCTCTTTTTTCCCAGTGAACTCAAGCTAAGACATTTAAGAGTCAGAAGTTTTTACACAGCTGCATCCACATAAGTACAGACATACCTGATCAAATCTGGTAGCAAAGAGATTGAGTGAGGTCACTATACCACCATTGGGCCCAAGTCCATATCTAGACATTAAGTTGAGGATTTAAATGGTAAATAGATCAATTTAGATTATCAGCTGATACTTAGGGTGTCACTCACATAAACAGCATTATGACACTGGTGTTCCATTAATGGGTATCGGCACCCAATCCTTAACAAGTACATATCACACAACCTTAACCTTATGGGGAATCATTCACTATCAAGGTCTTCCTTATTCATTTATCATTTTTAGGGATGGCCAGGCAAAATGAAAAAACTAAAGTGACTAAAATGTAAGAACACATGTATCAAGCAGTGACAGCTTGCTGGCATTAGCCATTAAGAGCACCTACATAACATTCCTTGCTCTGATCCTCACAAATCAAGGAATGTGCTGATTACAATTAGTCTTCCTACCGAGACTCAGGGAGCCCTGGTGGCATAAAGATTAAGTGCTTGGCTGCTAACCAAAAGGTCAATGGTTTGAACCCACCAGCAGCTCCTCAGGAGAAAAGACGACTCCTGACAATTAGCTCCCATAGATTTACAGTCTAGGAAACCCTATGGGGCAGTTCTACTCTGTCATGTAGGGTCCCTATGAGTCAGGATCGACCCAACCGCAACCACCACCAGGTAGACTTCCTACAGGGAGAGAAAACAATTCACACAGCAAGGTACTCAGAGTTAATCCTATTAAGCTTACTCATTTCTGAGTTTCCCAGTGAAGAGATGGTGGCCAGTAAGTGTATCCACCAAGGTGATACCACCTTGCGTGACCCAGCGTGAGTAGTAGCTAGCTTCTCATTCTCAATGCTCTCTAATTATACCAGCTTGTAGTCTGGGAAGATGGTAAGAAAACTGTAATCACAAGCTAAAACAGCATTTCTGATCACCCATAATACCTAATCCTCCTAATAAAACTACTTTAAAGCAATCAAATGCTTTTTCTTTCTATTTTGCAAGGAAAGGCAAAAACACTCTTACAAAGCAATAAAATACACAGACAGCAACTAGCCAGGGATGAATCAACATGGAAGTAAATGTGGAAAAGGATACTGTTTCATGACTTCTTTATACTTCACAGTGTCACGAATATCTGAAGAAAAAAAGAAGAATTAATTGGGATTCAACATATAAGAAGAAATATAATTTCAGACTCTCTACCTATAACGTCCTAAGCCGACAAGTCTTTCAAGTCATCTGTTTCTTCTGAGGAAGAAAGTAAGTTTCTCTCTTGGTATCTGAGTTATTTTCCATCTGTTTCTAAAATTTTAAGCTTATATTGAATTGCAATATGAAGCAATACCATAAAGAGAATGACTAGAAGGGCAAAAAGTGGCCTGTCAGCACCTTCCCTACCAGCAAGAAACTGAAACTAGTCTTCCAGGCTTCTCTTCTACCAGCATCTCCACATTCACGCTGGTTTCCTTCCTTACAAAGCGTAACTGCCGAGTAAACCACTGTCTTAGTTATCTAGTACAGCCGTAACAGAAATATCACAAGTAGATTGCTTTAACAAACAGAAGTTCATTCTCTCATAGTTTAGGAGGCCAGAAGTCCGAATTCAGGATCCCAGCTCCAGGAGAAGGCTTTCTCTCTGTCCATTCTGGGGGAAGGTCCTGGTTATCAATCTTCCCCGGTCTAGGAGCTTCTCAGAGCAGGGACCGTGGGTTCAAAAGACACACTCCCTTCCTGGTTCTTCCTTCTTGGTGGCATGAAGTCCACTTCTCTCTGCTTGATTCTCTCTCCTTTTATCTCTTGTAAGATAAAAGACAATGCAGGCCACACCCCAGGGAAACTCCCCTTACACTGGATCAGGGCTGTGACCTGAGTAAGAGTGTTGCTTGCATCCCATCCTAATCCTCTTTAACATAACCTAACCTTACCTCATTAACCACAGGCAGAGATTAGGATTTACAACACCTAAGAAAATCACATCAGATCACAAAATACAGGACAACCACATAACACTGGGAATCACGGCCCAGCCAAGTTGACATATATTTTGGGGGACACAATTCAATCCATGATACCCAGGAAGAATGTTATGATAGGAACTCCCAAGTTATATGGTAGATAAGGTCTGAGACAAGGCGAAAAGTTTTATACAATTCAAATATTTTATCAGTGACCATATGCACAGAAAAAAAGGAGCTAAATCAAGAAAAAAGTTTATCTTACCAATTGTCTACTTACTGGTGACAAACGCAAGGCAGACGTTATTTTGAAAAAGAAATTAATCTGTCCACTAATATCTAACTAAATCTTCTTACCAGTCTATAGACCTCCACCATCAACTATTAGAACTCCAACCTTTAGAAGAGAAGATGGGCAATTTTTTCCCAAATTCTTCCACAAATTATATCTGCTTCTTAATAGAGTCTCCCCTTCATTAGTATGTTTGGAGTACAAGCATACTTCACTTTATTGTGCTTTGCATATATTGCATTTTTTACAAATTGAAGGTTAGTGGCAACCCTGTGTCGAGCAAGTCTATCGGCACCATTTTTCTAACAGCATGTGCTCACTTCATGTTTGTGTGTCACATTTTGGTACTCTTAGCAATATTTCAAACATTTTCATTATTATTATATCTGTTACAGTGATCTATGATCAGTGATCTTTGATATTATGATTGTAATTGTTTTGGGGCACCACAAACCGTGCCCATATAAGACAGCAAACTTAATCGATAAATGTTGTGTGTGTTCTGACTGCTCCATCGACCAACCATTACCCCGTTTCTCTCCCTCTCCTCGGCCCTCTCTATTCCGAGACATAACAATATTGAAATTAGGCCAATTAATAACCCTACAACAGCCTCTAAGTGTTCAAGTGAAAGGAAGAGTCGCATGTCACTTTAAATCAAAAGCTAAAAATGATAACGCTTAGTGAGGAAGGCATGTCGAAAGCTGAGACAGTCTGAAAAGTTAGGCCTCTTGCACTAAACAGTTAGCCAAGCTGTGAATGCAAAGGAAAAGTTCTTGAAGGAAAAGCGAACACACGAATAATAAGAAAGTCAAACAGCCTTATTGCTGACATGGAGAAAGTTTTAGTGGTCTAGATAGAAGAACAAACCAGCCACAACATTCCCTTAAGCCAAAGCCTAATACAGGGCAAGACCCTAACTCCTCAATTTTATGAAGGATGAGAGAGGTGAGGAGGCTGCAGAAAAAAAGTCCAAAGCTAGCAGAGGTTGGTTCATGAGGTTTAAGGAAAGAAATCATCTCCATAACATAAAAGCGCAAGGTGAAGCAGCATGTGCTGATGTAGAAGCTGCAGCAAGTTATCCAGAAGATCTAGCTAAGATAATAGATAAAGGTGGCTACACTAAACAACAGATTTTCAATGTAGATGAAACAGCCTTATATTGGAAGAAGATGCCATTGAGGACTTTCAGAGCTAGAGAAGAGAAGTCAATGCCAGCCTTCAAAGCTTCAAAAGACAGGCTGACTCTCTTGTTAGGGGCTAATGCAGCTGATGACTTTAAGTTGAAACCAATGCTCATTTACCATTCCGAAAATCCTAGGGCCCTTACAAATTAATGCTAAATCCACTCTGCCTGTGCTCTATAAATGGATCAACAAAGCCTGGATGACAGCACATCTGTTTACAACATGGCTTACTGAATATTTTAAGCTCACGGTTGAGACCTACTGCTCAAAAGAAAAGATTCCTTGCAACATATTACTGCTCATTGACAATGCACCTGGTCACCCAAGAGCTCTGATAGAGATATACAATGAGATTAACATTTTCATGCCTGCTAACACAACATCTGGAGCCCTGGTGGCACAGTGGTTAAGCGTTTGGCTGCTACACAAAGGGTGGGCTGTTCAAATCCACCAGCCGCATTTCTACATTGTCCTATAGGGTTGCAATGAGTGAAAATCAACTCGACAACAATGGGTTTCTTTTTTATGGGTAACACAATATCCATTCTGCAGTCCATGGATCAAGGAGTAATTCTGGCTTTTAAGTCTTATTATTTAAGAAATACATTTTATAAGGCTATAGCTGCCATAGATAGTGACACCTCTGATTGAGCTGGGCAAAATAAATTGAAAACCTTCTGGGAAGGATTCACCATTCTAGAGGCCATTAAGAACATTCGTGATTCATGGGAGGAGGTCAAAATATTGACATTAACAGGAGTTTGGAAGAAGTTGATTCCAACCCTCATGGATGTCTTTGAGGGGTTCAAGATTTCAGTGGAGGAATAACTACAGATGTGGAAATAGCAAGAGAATCAGAATTAGAAGGGAGCCTGAAGATGTGACTGAATTGCTGCAATCTCATGATAAAACTTTAATGGATGAGGAGTTGCCTCTTATGGATGAGCCAAGAGAGTAGTTTCTTGAGATGGAATCTACTCCTGGTGGATGCTGTGAACACTGCTGAAATGACAACAAAGTGTTTAGAATATTACATAAACTTAGTTGACAAAGCAGCAGCAGAGTTTGAGAGGACCGATTCCAATTTTCCAAGAAGTTCTACTGGGGGTAAAATGCTATCAAACAGCATCACATGCTACAGAGAAATCTTCCATGAAAGGAAGAATCCACTGATGTGGCCAACTTCACTGTTCTCTTATTTTAAGAAATTGCCACCACCACCCCAAGCTTCAGCAACCACCACCCGGGTCAGTCAGCAGCCATCAACATCAAGGGAAGACCTTCCACCAGCAAAAAGATTATGACTTGCTTCCAGATAAACAGAAATTGAGGGACTATGTAAAAACCAAACCAAACTTAAAAGACTTATTAAAGGGGGTCCTTCGATCTGAGAACAAACAACATCAGACCACAGGCTGAATACAGGACACAGGACTGTACTAGCCAGATACCAACCTAGGAAATTAACTCTTAAAGACTATGCAAACCCAAAAGAATTACAAAAGGAAACGAGAGAGGTTAATCTGTAAGTGACAACAGCATCAGAACAATAAAAGAGGGAATAAACGGTGTACGGTGTACGTATCGAACCTTCCAATGGAGAGGAAGGCAAGGCAATACCAAGTAATAATAGACTGGTTCAAATCTAGGAGGATAGGATAAATTTCAAGGTAACCACAAGGAAAGTTAACAAACCTACTCATCAAAATGAAGAAAAACAAAACCTACAAAAACAAAAAAAAAGAAAAAAAAAAATCCCACAAACGAAAGGAACTCAGCACAGGAGAGTAAGAGAAACAAAGAAAACGTCAGCACCACAAAAAAAAATCACCACAAAATGCAATCCCACTCCTAGGAATATATTCTAGTGAAATAAGAACCATCACACGAATAGACATGCACACCCATATTCACTGGAGCACGGTTCACAGTAGCAAAAAGATGGAAACAACCTAAATGTCCATCAACAAATGAATGGATAAACAAACTATGGTACATACACACAATGGAGTTGTCATGGTTTGAATTATGTCCCCCAAAAAATGTGTGTATCAATTTGGCTAAGCCATGATTTCCAGAATTGTGTGGTTGGCCTCCATTTTGTGATTGTAATTTTATGTTAAAGAGGATTAGGGTGGGATTATAATACTGCCCTTACCCAGGTCACATCCCTGATCCAATGTAAAGGGAGTTTCCTTAGGGTGTGGCCTGCACCACCTTTTACCTTATAAGAGATAAAAGGAAAGGGAAGCAAGCAGAGAATTGGGGACCTCATACCACCAAGAAAGAAGAACCGGGAACAGAACGTGTCCTTTGGACGTGAGGTTCCTGTGCAAAGAAGCTGCTACTCTCGGTGAACACTGATGAGAAGAAGGCCAACAGAGAGAGAAAGCCTTCCCCTGGAGCTGACACCCTGCAATTTGGACTTTTGGCCTACTTTATTGCAAGGAAATAAACTTCTCTTTGTTAAAACCATCCACTCATGGTATTTCTGTTAGAGCAGTACTAGATGACTAAGACAGGAGTATTATGCAAAAATAAAGAACAATGATGAATCTGTGAAGCATCTCATAACATGGATGAAACTGGAGGACTTTATGCTGAGTGAAATACGTCAATCACAAAAGGACAAATACTGTATGAGACCTCTACTGTAAAAACTCATGTAAAAGTTTACACACAAAAATAAACAATCTTTGTTGGCTATGAGGGATGGAGGGGTGGGGGGGGGGAACTAAACAGACAAGTGGTAACTTTGGTGAAGGGTAAGACAGTACACAGTACTGGGGAAGGCAGCACAACTGGTACAAGCAAAGGTCATGGAAGCTCCAGAGACACTTCCAAACTCCCTGAGGGACTGAATTGCTGGGCGGAGGGCTGTGGGGACCATGGTCTCAGGGAACATCGAGCTCAATTAGCATAACACAGTTTATAAAGACAATGTTCTACATTCTACCTTGGTGAGTAGCGTCTGGGGTCGAGCTCAATTAGCATAACACAGTTTATAAAGACAATGTTCTACATTCTACCTTGGTGAGTAGCGTCTGGGGTCGTAAAGGCCTGTGAGCAGCCATCTAAGATATTCCACTTGTCTCATCCCTTTGGGAGCAAGGGAGAATGAAGAGAACATGATAAAAGGAAAATATTAGTCCGAAGGACTAACTGTCCACAACTACCAAGGCCTCCACCGGACTGAGTCCAGTACAGCTAGATGGTGCCCGGCTAACATCACTGACTGCTCTGACCAGGATCACAACAGAGGGTTCTGGACAGAGCTGGAGAAGGATGCAGAGCAAAATTTTAACTCACAAAAAAAAAGACCAGATTTACTGACCTAAAGGTTCATGGTTCAGCCAGGGAGTGGACAGCCCCATAAAACCAAATGGGAGTAATGAGGCACAGCAGTCCAGGGACAAGGGCCAGAAGGCAGAAGGGGACAAGAAAGCTCGTGATAGGGAACCCAAGGTTGAGTAAGGATAGTGTTGATGTGTTGTGAGGTTAACCATTGTCATAGGGCAACATGTGTACCAAGTGTTTAATGAGAAACTATTTTGTTCTGTAAACC